CTCAACATAATGAGTCCCCGAGCCAGGGTGTGACAATTGGTCATATTTAGGATTTCCTAAATATAACAAACATTCTTCTGGGCAATATGGTCTTTCCGAGTCCCTTAAATGACAGAAGTTGTGGTTGAACATAGCACAGTCCTGGCAACTGTGAGGATTTGGAATGACTGTTAATTATTTTACAGGAGATGTGGTGCATATTAGTCTATTTTCTTAATTTAATTTTAATGTACTATATTGTGCTCATCTATACCAATCATTGTTTAACGGCTCCTTCCATTCCCTTTCTTCTGCAGTTGGTATGGCTCTAACATGTACAGGGTTTAGTGCACAAAACTAAAACATTAAAACCATTAAAACCCCTGTAAGCCCAACTTCCCCCCTTTGGACACATACATCACATCGTGAATCCCAAAGCCAACACCTCCTTTGGCCGCCATTCCTTCCAGTTCTCTGCTGCCAATGACTGGAACGAATTGCAAAAATCTCTGAAGCTGGAGACTCTTATCTCCCTCAATAACTTTAAGCATCAGTTGTCAGAGCACCTTACCGATCACTGCACCTGTACACAGCCCATCTGAAATTAGCCCACCCAACTACCTCATCCCTATATTGTTATTTATTTTGCTCTTTTGCACCCCAGTATCTCTATTTGCACATAATCTCTTGCACATCTAGCATTCCAGTGTTAATACTATTGTAATTATTTTGCACTATAGCCTATTTATTGCCTTAACTCCATAACTTGCTACATTTGCACACACTGTATATATATTTTCTGTTGTATTTTTGACATTATGTTTTTTTACCCCATATGTAACTCTGTGTTGTTTTTATTGCACTGCTTTGCGTTATCTTATCCAGGTCGCAGTTGTAAATGAGAACCTGTTCTCAACTGGCTTACCTGGTTAAATAAAGGTGAAATAAAAAAAATTAAAAATAAAAATAAAAATTAAAAACATCACATCGTGATTCATGTGTTCAAAAAACAAAACAACAACAATATTGCCTGTTAAAATGACAACCTTTGATAATATCTTAACCTACTTGCATCCCATAACATTATTCAAGGAATATCTCTCCTTCCGGACTAACTCTCTCACTTCATCCTTGTCCTATTTGGAATGATATATAGGATTAATGCCAAATTATATACTTCTTCACAATTCCTTATTATAACCAACCTCCAATTCAGCATGCCTCTAGGATTTACCGTGCGGGTGATCAAGTCACACTATAAAGCCAGGAAAGATTGCAGAGGTCATTGAAATCATTCAAGGAATTGTTCCATCCAATAGTATACTAAACATGACCAACATTCAAAACATCTCATAAATGTTGTGTATACCAAGTATACATTAAGTCCTTAGTACAACTCTTTTCAAAAGAAATCACACGTAGTTACTCATCATTCAGTAAATAAAAGCCCACAATACATGTGTTTTCCCCCTTAAGACATACCACTTCTACCCCATGAAAAGAACCCTAAAATAAAAATAAAAATCCTATACAGCTAACATTTCATACTAAGTAGGTCGTTTGTGGTTATTTGAATACCGTAGAGTAAAACAATAAACAAACAAAAAATAGCCAGGCCTTATTTCTCTGAAAATATTTCAAAGAAATGGGAAAATCACTCCCCCCTTTTTCCTGGAATAAAAAGTACACATTTAGTTAGCTTCCATTTTGATACCTCTTAATCAGTCCAAACTATTTAAACAATTCGAAATTCTCACTCTCTATTGAATATACTAGTCCACATCTCCTGATCCCCTCACTCAGAAAACCCTCAAGAACATCACTCGTGACTGCTCCCTTCCCCGTTGAATTCCACGAAATAAAATCCCAGAAGATTTAAACCCCTAAGCTTTTCCCTAGTCGCACTGCTATCTCTCGATCACGCCCAACATGCTCCATGACTTCGAAAACTCAAATCCCCAAATATGCTATATCTTGCCTTGTTGGTCGTCCTTTCCTACATGCCCTGTGGCCCCCCCTTCTACCAAAATAGTTTACTAATGTGATGATGGTTTCGCCCATTATCTTCTGTGGACATACTCCTTCCTTAACTATTATTAGTCCCTCTGTCTGTGCATCTTTGCCTGACATGGGGAGGTGAGAGGCATAATTTGGACTTACACATGAGTAAGTTGCTCCAGTATCTATCATCATTGGTGTGCCTCTATTGTTCACCTGAACCTGCATCATAGGTTCTTCATCAGCCTGCATAGTTACTGCCACTAGCTGACCCTCCCCTCTAGGATTCCCTGGGCATCCCTAGTATCCATGATTTGGTCCTCCCCACGGGTTCACTGGGCCCTGTGGAGCCTGTGTCTGAGACTGCCGCCATTCAGCTAAGCTGGGCCCATTTCCTTGCCAATTACCCTGTTGTGGTTGCCTAGGCCACCACAGCTTGGTGGGACAACTCCTTCTTGTATGTCCTGATTGATTGCACCTCCAGCAGACACCTGGTCTTCTTGGTTCACCATTCTGGTGTGTCTGATGCTGGGGTTGGTACCATTGATTCTTGGGTCCATTTTCATTTTTCTTGTTTTGCCATGGCCCAGGGGATTGGTGTGTATACACATTCACTACTGGTAAGGCAGGACCTCTTTGGCCTTGCTGCTGAGGCAGTGGTTGTTGACCTCCCTGGATGACAAGTGCCATGATGCCCTCTACAGGTGGCGCCCGAGTGATCACTGGGGCTTGTGTTCTCTTTTTTTCCTTTCTTGTCAGCTCTTCTAGCTGCATCTGTGTCAGTTTTCTTTGAACGTCTCTACCTTGCTCTGTCAGTTTCTGTTCGCCCTTCCTGTATTTCTCCACTGCGTGGATAACATGGTCGCGGAACTCTTTGTGTGACTTTGACATTAATCCCACCACATCTTCTAGTCTGCTTCTGACGTTGGCATTGCTTCCATCAATGATGTACTCTACCATAAAGGCCGGATTGGTGGAGTGATGCAGAGATGGTTGTACTTATGGAAGGTTCTCCCATCTTAACAGAGGAACTCTGGAGCTCTGTCAAAGTGACCATCGGGTTCTTGGTCACCTCCCTGGCCAAGGCCCTTCTCCCCCGATTACTCAGTTTGTCTGGCCGGCCAGCTCTAGGAAGAGTTTTGGTGGTTCTGTTGGAAATTGTTTAGTGGACTATGAGGTAAAACTGAGTTAATCATCAACATATAGTTAACATTCTTTGTGGCTAACTGAATTGGGTCATTTCACTGTGTGTGTGGGTAAAAGATGGAATCTGACTTAGGGTTTGATTGCTCGCTTTTACTGAAATCCATCGCTCTCTTATCTTATCGGGGACTGAAACTAGCTTGTGGCCTTTTGTCTCTCTCCTCACACAAAGTGATAAAGAGCGGCGCCAAGGTTGAACAGAGTTTAACCTAAACATGAGTATTTTTGCAAGATAAGGGATTGATTGAGTGTATTACTATTGATTCTGAACTGAATGAAAGTCGAATGTAGCTGCCACCATAGACAAAGGGAGTGGGCGGAGCAATAAAAGAGCGGGAAACTGAGGAGGGAGGATTTAAAGCTATGGTATGTGGAGGACACTATATAAGATGGAGAGAAGAAGAGGGGGCAAATCTGCAGATTGGCCTGGTTTTGTTGACATCATAATGAAGTCATTCTTAATCCCACAAACACTCTGGAAGGATTGATTTGTAATAAAGTATAGTTGTTATTTTCCACAACATAATTGGCGATCCCGGCAGGACCTGTTTATAGAGATCTTTGAGTGCTTTGCCATCGGAGGAGGTTTTGACGAATCACACAATCAGTGGCCACTGTTTAAACAAAGGTAAGCAACGTTCTTACTTAAACTGTGTGTTTCGATCAAGCTGAATCTGAGTGTAGGGTACAGAAGGGTTCTCTCCAGAATTTAAGGACCAAATTTAGTAGAAGAGCAGAGTTTTTGTTGGAATGAGAACTAAGCATGCATGCAATGTGATTATAGATAAGTGTAAATAAGACAAGCAGGCTAGTAGAAAAGGTGTGTGTCCTGGATTAACAGGAAATCAGGAGTGTGTGTGTCCTGGTTTAAAAGGAAATCAGAAGGAGTGTGTGTGCCCTGATTTAAGAGGAAATCAGAAGGTGTGTGTGTGTGATTTTCTCGGAGGGGTATGACAAATCCTGTTGGAGGAACAGGTCACGTGTATGGGGGTCTAGGTAATTAAATTGATGTTCCGCTGGGACTAGATTAGGGTAAACTAACTTGTGGCAATAAAGAATCATTAGAAATACGAGTGGTTTGGTTAATATTAATATATTAAAATATGATGTACGTTATGTGCGGGTAATTGATTAATAGAGAGTGGATAAAAGTGGAATAATATATAAGTGCTGGCTTGCGCGCCCAAACACGTAGACGTACGTGGGGGGTGGGAGACAGTACATAGATCATGTGATAGAAATAAAATTAAGCATTATAATAACTATCTATTATTTCAGAAGCAGAGGTGATATAGAAGGCCAGACAGAAGCCACTCCTCTGTAAAAGGCACATGACTGCCAGCTTGGAGTTTGCCAAAAGGCACCAAAAGGACTCTCAGACCATGAGAAACAAGATTCTCTGGTCTGATGAAACCAAGATTTAACTCTTTGGCCTGAATGCCAAGCGTCACGTCTGTAAGAAACCTGGCACCATCCCTACGGTGAAGCATGGTGGTGGCAACATCATGCTGTGGGGATGTTTTTCAGCGGCAGGGACTGGGAGACTAGTCAGGATCCTATAAGAGATGGTTATCTATGGCTCTGGGCCTACCTGCCTCCAGCATGTTCAGGTCAATATTCTATAGTATTCTATTCTGTTCCTATCTTTTTCTTACATTAAGAGGTTCCACAAGAGGATAGTTTTCACTTCAGGGAGAAAGAGCTATAGGCAACCAAACACACACACTTCATTTGCAATGCTAAAATTTATTTTATTCATTAGCAGCTGTGCACATTTCACAATCTACAACATTTCCCCAACCAAGACAATTTTAGTGCTATAATCACATATATAACATAACTGGAAGACTTAGGCCTAGATTTAATCCAGACTTTGGAAGATCTGCGTTTTAGCACAATTTAAATTTAAAGGCAATGTTCTCACATTAGCAGAGACTGCATTCACGGTAAATGCTGCATATGTCGGCTCAATCATAAATTACTTTTCAATTTCAATCCCACTATAACACGGTACTTACACAGTACAGATTACATCTAGCCCTTAAGGATCTTTGGGATCAATGGATCTCTGTTGATCTAGTGGATCTCTCAGTGGATATCTTACGCAGCCTGGGCCAGACCGACACTGTTGTTCTGCCTGTCAAAGATGGCATAGTATTGCCTGATGAAGACATCTCCAAGGATCCAGAGCTGCTGAGTTCCACCATTTCCAAAACCAGTCATGCAGCCGTTGGAGTTCTACAGAGATAGAGAGAGGAAGAGGAGGAAAATCAGGCATATGAGGCCCTTTGCTCCTAGGATCTAAAAGAAAGGTCAAGTCTCAGATGTACAGGTGCTCTGATGAAGGAGCTTGCTTTGAAACACATCAGCATTGAAGATCAGATAGGGCAGATAGGTTGTATGTAACAACATGTCTTTTAGTAGACTACATGGGAGGTCATAGGTTGTATGTATCAACATGTCTTTTAGTAGACTACCTGGGAGGTGATAGGTTATATGTAACAACATGTATTTCAGTAGACTACCTGGGAGGTGTAGGCGGAGGCAGAGATGGTGAAGGCGTTTCCGTTGAGGGTGAAGGTCACCTCGGGCATGCTGGGAATGTTGTTGCAGTTCACGGTGGCCTAGGAGAGGAATAAAAATGTTCTAGTTTATTCTGTGGTTGATTACATTTGACATTTTAGTCATTTAGAAGACGCTCTTATCCAGAGCGACTTACAGTTAGTGAGTGCATACATTGATCAAAGGGGAGGCAGTGATTGAGGGAAAAAACAACAATGAGAACAGATGTATACCCTTTTCACACAACCATGCCGCCCCAACCACAATGTGCTGGTTCAGATATTTGCTCTTCCCACTTGCTGGGCTTGGTTCCGCTCAGTAGTGTGAAAAGCCTTATAGTTGTACATGTCTGTACCAGTCAGTGTGTGTGTGACTCACATCTCCATACTGGTCAGTGGTGGCTCCGACCCAGCTGTTCATGTTGTTGATGTCACTGGTTGGCCCGACGATCTGGGAGGTACCAGTATCTATGATAGCCTGACAGCCACCATTGCAAGCCACTGTGTTGCCGTTGATGGTAACACTGGAAGGACAAATATTAGCTGATTTTACCTGTTCTTTTGGTTGTATGTATATTTCTTGCTGTTGGGTTTTTGTTGTGAGCAAATAAACATGAACTTGCTAAGTTCACAGCAAGATTTTGTCATAGGCTCCAGACTGGAAGTAGGCATGTTCATTTTATGTACTGTTCCAATGTGTTCTGGGTAATGGCATGAAGGGATGATACATGAATATTGGTATGGATATGGACCAGGATATGGGCTCTGTGTGGACTAGTGTACCTACCTGTCCATGTTTATCTGCCAGTAGGTCTCGGAGGACAGGGGGATCCAGGTGATCTGTCCGGTGTAGTAGTTAGACTCGATGTCACCGAATGACACCACACTACCCTCTGCTGAGTTTCTATTGGAGGAGGAGAAAAGGTCAACAAGGTTGTTTAATCATCAACACATTTTGAAATGGATGTCACCTCTCCTTCAAAGACAATTAAAGCAGTTGTATAATTGTATTTAATATAAAATCACTGGTACATTCTTATTTATTAATATCACAACTAAGAGAAAATGCCACCTCCCATCCAGGTGTATTTGTACAGTTACTATGTTACCCGCTCAGGTAGACAGAGAAGAGGTTCTGGGACACCAGGCCCTGGGTCATCATGTTGTCAAAGACGGGTGTGGCCCCAGAGGCTGCCAGGTTGGGGAAAGCCAGGCCCAGGATACCGTCGGCAAACCATGTTGGCCATGAAGGGAGCCTCGGTCTGACTGGCACCAAAGATCTGCTGAGTCACAGAGATACCTCCCACCTGGAAACACAGAACAGCAGGCATCAGTCACTGGGCACCATAGAAATAGAATTACTAGAATGGGTTTTTCCCATTCAAGTCAGTTGTTTGGTGATGTGTGGACCGGAGGCCATATTGAGTGTACCCAAAATAGTAATTATATTTCTTTGCTGACTCTACTGGAGTCAGTTACTAATATGCTTGGGTATTGTTTATAGCATGTGATGTTATAAAATGGGACCGTTAGGGGAGGACGGGTGCTGAGTGGAATATTATTTGGGGGTTGTATTGTATGTAATGTACAGTATGTTGTATTTGAAAGTGTCAATAAAATATGTATCACAATAATGTGTAGCTAGCTACATTTACATACTGAAACAGTGTCGTATGCCAGCTGTCCAGTCATGCTGCCAGTTTCCGTACTGAATGGAAACAGGCTTGTTGGCCCATGAGAAGGTGCTAGACTGTGCAGGGTTGAATTCGGCATGGTTCTCTATTCAAAACATGAACATCTTCGTTAGGTACACACCATGCCATTGCAAAACTGAACATTCATTTCTTCGTTGGTATTGAGCTATTTTCCACAATCCACGCTCTAAATGGGACAATACAAAAATACATTCCTCCTATTCTATTGTTTCATTGTGTTGAGCGAACCCCTTTATGCTGTAAATCTCAAGGTGCTCCCCTCAGCCCATAACCTCAACCCACAACCAAGTCTCCCATTCTCTGGCTAGGTACTCAATATGAAACAGTTTTTTGCAACTCTGTCACAAGAGACTACTCAGAAACAATTTGAAATATAGCTATTCCCCATCGTCAACAGTATTCTCCAGACCCCTACAATATACTCACGGCAGGCTGGGCTGGAGCAGGAGACAGAGGGAACCCACAGGTTGGAGGAGCCAGTGTCAAAAGATGACGTTGAAGGACTGGGGAGGGGTTCCAATGGAGATCACACCATAGTAGGACAACTGCAGAGAGACGTTGAAACAGAGATGTACTGTAAGTCAGGGTCACACAAGTGAACATTTCAGAGTACTATGAAGAAACAGGCATTTGTCTAACTATGTAGCTAGTTACATGTCAAGAAGCATGGCTATATGCTCAACTCTAAGCTCATAATTAATTTGATCATGCCAGTGAACATTTTATTTAAGCAAGACATGAACACAAACTGTAGAGTCAATGGGTTCAAATTATGTAGTCACAATATCCAACATGTAATGACATTTTTGAAACAATAATCATATAGTCTATAGACTAGCCTGGTCACAGGTGGGTACCTTTCCAATCAATTTAATTTACCACAGGTGGACTCCAATCATGTTGTAGAAATATCTCAAGGATGATCAATGGAAACAGGATGCACCTGAGCTCAATTTCAAGTCTCTTAGCAAAGGGTCTGAATACTTATCTATATAAAGGATTAGAAAACTAAACAAAAAAAAAAACATATATATATATATATATATATATATATATAATATATATATATATATATATATATTTTTTTTTTGTTTAGTTTTCTAATCCTTTATATAGATAAGTATTCAGACCCTTTGCTAAGAGACTTGAATTGAGCTCAGGTGCATCCTGTTTCCATTGATCATCCTTGAGATATTTCTACAACATGATGGGAGTCCACCTGTGGTAAATTAAATTGATTGGAAAGGTACCCACCTGTGACCAGGCTAGTCTATAGACTATATGATTATTGTTTCAAAAATGTCATTACATGTTGGATATTGTGACTACATAATTTGAACCCATTGACTCTACAGTTTGTGTTCATGTCTTGCTTAAATAAAATGTTCACTGGCATGATCAAATTAATTATGAGCTTAGAGTTGAGCATATAGCCATGCTTCTTGACATGTAACTAGCTACATAGTTAGACAAATGCCTGTTTCTTCATAGTACTCTGAAATGTTCACTTGTGTGACCCTGACTTACAGTACATCTCTGTTTCAACGTCTCTCTGCAGTTGTCCTACTATGGTGTGATCTCCATTGGAACCCCTCCCCAGTCCTTCAACGTCATCTTTGACACTGGCTCCTCCAACCTGTGGGTTCCCTCTGTCTCCTGCTCCAGCCCAGCCTGCCGTGAGTATATTGTAGGGGTCTGGAGAATACTGTTGACGATGGGGAATAGCTATATTTCAAATTGTTTCTGAGTAGTCTCTTGTGACAGAGTTGCAAAAAACTGTTTCATATTGAGTACCTAGCCAGAGAATGGGAGACTTGGTTGTGGGTTGAGGTTATGGGCTGAGGGGAGCACCTTGAGATTTACAGCATAAAGGGGTTCGCTCAACACAATGAAACAATAGAATAGGAGGAATGTATTTTTGTATTGTCCCATTTAGAGCGTGGATTGTGGAAAATAGCTCAATACCAACGAAGAAATGAATGTTCAGTTTTGCAATGGCATGGTGTGTACCTAACGAAGATGTTCATGTTTTGAATAGAGAACCATGCCGAATTCAACCCTGCACAGTCTAGCACCTTCTCATGGGCCAACAAGCCTGTTTCCATTCAGTACGGAACTGGCAGCATGACTGGACAGCTGGCATACGACACTGTTTCAGTATGTAAATGTAGCTAGCTACACATTATTGTGATACATATTTTATTGACACTTTCAAATACAACATACTGTACATTACATACAATACAACCCCCAAATAATATTCCACTCAGCACCCGTCCTCCCCTAACGGTCCCATTTTATAACATCACATGCTATAAACAATACCCAAGCATATTAGTAACTGACTCCAGTAGAGTCAGCAAAGAAATATAATTACTATTTTGGGTACACTCAATATGGCCTCCGGTCCACACATCACCAAACAACTGACTTGAATGGGAAAACCCATTCTAGTAATTCTATTTCTATGGTGCCCAGTGACTGATGCCTGCTGTTCTGTGTTTCCAGGTGGGAGGTATCTCTGTGACTCAGCAGATCTTGGTGCCAGTCAGACCGAGGCTCCCTTCATGGCCAACATGGTTGCCGACGGTATCCTGGGCCTGGCTTTCCCCAACCTGGCAGCCTCTGGGGCCACACCCGTCTTTGACAACATGATGACCCAGGGCCTGGTGTCCCAGAACCTCTTCTCTGTCTACCTGAGCGGGTAACATAGTAACTGTACAAATACACCTGGATGGGAGGTGGCATTTTCTCTTAGTTGTGATATTAATAAATAAGAATGTACCAGTGATTTTATATTAAATACAATTATACAACTGCTTTAATTGTCTTTGAAGGAGAGGTGACATCCATTTCAAAATGTGTTGATGATTAAACAACCTTGTTGACCTTTTCTCCTCCTCCAATAGAAACTCAGCAGAGGGTAGTGTGGTGTCATTCGGTGACATCGAGTCTAACTACTACACCGGACAGATCACCTGGATCCCCCTGTCCTCCGAGACCTACTGGCAGATAAACATGGACAGGTAGGTACACTAGTCCACACAGAGCCCATATCCTGGTCCATATCCATACCAATATTCATGTATCATCCCTTCATGCCATTACCCAGAACACATTGGAACAGTACATAAAATGAACATGCCTACTTCCAGTCTGGAGCCTATGACAAATCTTGCTGTGAACTTAGCAAGTTCATGTTTATTTGCTCACAACAAAAACCCAACAGCAAGAAATATACATACAACCAAAAGAACAGGTAAAATCAGCTAATATTTGTCCTTCCAGTGTTACCATCAACGGCAACACAGTGGCTTGCAATGGTGGCTGTCAGGCTATCATAGATACTGGTACCTCCCAGATCGTCGGGCCAACCAGTGACATCAACAACATGAACAGCTGGGTCGGAGCCACCACTGACCAGTATGGAGATGTGAGTCACACACACACTGACTGGTACAGACATGTACAACTATAAGGCTTTTCACACTACTGAGCGGAACCAAGCCCAGCAAGTGGGAAGAGCAAATATCTGAACCAGCACATTGTGGTTGGGGGCGGCATGGTTGTGTGAAAAGGGTATACATCTGTTCTCATTGTTGTTTTTTTCCCTCAATCACTGCCTCCCCTTTGATCAATGTATGCACTCACTAACTGTAAGTCGCTCTGGATAAGAGCGTCTTCTAAATGACTAAAATGTCAAATGTAATCAACCACAGAATAAACTAGAACATTTTTATTCCTCTCCTAGGCCACCGTGAACTGCAACAACATTCCCAGCATGCCCGAGGTGACCTTCACCCTCAACGGAAACGCCTTCACCATCTCTGCCTCCGCCTACACCTCCCAGGTAGTCTACTGAAATACATGTTGTTACATATAACCTATCACCTCCCAGGTAGTCTACTAAAAGACATGTTGATACATACAACCTATGACCTCCCATGTAGTCTACTAAAAGACATGTTGTTACATACAACCTATCTGCCCTATCTGATCTTCAATGCTGATGTGTTTCAAAGCAAGCTCCTTCATCAGAGCACCTGTACATCTGAGACTTGACCTTTCTTTTAGATCCTAGGAGCAAAGGGCCTCATATGCCTGATTTTCCTCCTCTTCCTCTCTCTATCTCTGTAGAACTCCAACGGCTGCATGACTGGTTTTGGAAATGGTGGAACTCAGCAGCTCTGGATCCTTGGAGATGTCTTCATCAGGCAATACTATGCCATCTTTGACAGGCAGAACAACAGTGTCGGTCTGGCCCAGGCTGCGTAAGATATCCACTGAGAGATCCACTAGATCAACAGAGATCCATTGATCCCAAAGATCCTTAAGGGCTAGATGTAATCTGTACTGTGTAAGTACCGTGTTATAGTGGGATTGAAATTGAAAAGTAATTTATGATTGAGCCGACATATGCAGCATTTACCGTGAATGCAGTCTCTGCTAATGTGAGAACATTGCCTTTAAATTTAAATTGTGCTAAAACGCAGATCTTCCAAAGTCTGGATTAAATCTAGGCCTAAGTCTTCCAGTTATGTTATATATGTGATTATAGCACTAAAATTGTCTTGGTTGGGGAAATGTTGTAGATTGTGAAATGTGCACAGCTGCTAATGAATAAAATAAATTTTAGCATTGCAAATGAAGTGTGTGTGTTTGGTTGCCTATAGCTCTTTCTCCCTGAAGTGAAACTATCCTCTTGTGGAACCTCTTAATGTAAGAAAAAGATAGGAACAGAATAGAATACTATAGAATATTGACCTGAACATGCTGGAGGCAGGTAGGCCCAGAGCCATAGATAACCATCTCTTATAGGATCCTGACTAGTCTCCCAGTCCCTGCCGCTGAAAAACATCCCCACAGCATGATGTTGCCACCACCATGCTTCACCGTAGGGATGGTGCCAGGTTTCTTACAGACGTGACGCTTGGCATTCAGGCCAAAGAGTTAAATCTTGGTTTCATCAGACCAGAGAATCTTGTTTCTCATGGTCTGAGAGTCCTTTTGGTGCCTTTTGGCAAACTCCAAGCTGGCAGTCATGTGCCTTTTACAGAGGAGTGGCTTCTGTCTGGCCTTCTATATCACCTCTGCTTCTGAAATAATAGATAGTTATTATAATGCTTAATTTTATTTCTATCACATGATCTATGTACTGTCTCCCACCCCCCACGTACGTCTACGTGTTTGGGCGCGCAAGCCAGCACTTATATATTATTCCACTTTTATCCACTCTCTATTAATCAATTACCCGCACATAACGTACATCATATTTTAATATATTAATATTAACCAAACCACTCGTATTTCTAATGATTCTTTATTGCCACAAGTTAGTTTACCCTAATCTAGTCCCAGCGGAACATCAATTTAATTACCTAGACCCCCATACACGTGACCTGTTCCTCCAACAGGATTTGTCATACCCCTCCGAGAAAATCACACACACACACCTTCTGATTTCCTCTTAAATCAGGGCACACACACTCCTTCTGATTTCCTTTTAAACCAGGACACACACACTCCTGATTTCCTGTTAATCCAGGACACACACCTTTTCT